TGATTTGACAGAGATTTATAATCAGTTAGCTTACCTTTTGCACTGATCTCTGGCATGGCCTGCAATGTTCTGCCTGTGGACTGCTCTGTTGACACCGGCGGGTCATTCACTTTCTGCCATGTTTGAACAACTGTTTGAGCTGTGGCGCTCTCTTCAGGAAGTGATAGCCACTAGTCACCACGTGCGACTGAGGCCTTGAAATATGCCTAGGCTGAGCTGAGAAGTGCTGTTTTAAGTGAAAAGCAATCACCGTGTTTAGAAGACGTAACATAATTACAGGAATGTAAAATATCACCCTGGTATTTTAAAAATACTCTTTGCACTTTGAAAATATTTTGAATATAGGGGTTAAGGCGCAACGGGTTAAGGAGCAGCACTGCACTCTAGCAGCAGCCACCTCAATGTGAGTTCAAACCTGGGCTCGGGAGGCGACCCACATGGCGAGACAGACCTCTCCTGACCCGCTCAATGCTCCCCTCAGCAGTGTACTTCATTAGTTTGCCTGCTCTGCTCCCCACTCTGTCTCTGGTGAATCCTCTTACCATCCCTGAACCTCTGGCTTATACCCCAGTTCTGTATGCATAGATAAATAAAACTTTAAAAAAAAGAAAGACAATATTTTGCATATAGTTGGGCATTTTTCATGTAAATGAAAATATACCATTCAACTTAATTTCACCCAGGTTTTTAAATTTTTTTAGCAATGTGCCCCTTGGGCTGGGTTTAAAGAGCATTCGTGACCAACTTGGTAATTCTATGGACAACATCTCTCTGTGTTCATTTCTGTTGACCTCATTTGCTTTCACCCGAGTAGACGCCATCACTGCTTAATTTTTACCATATGGAAAATGTAAAACTAAAAATTAATTTCCCCATGTGGATGGTCAATGATTATTCGCTGGCATCTCACATTTCCTGACAGGTTATCCTGGAAATTGCACAGAAAATGTTTTTTATCTCATTTCCTGATGATTGAGAATGCCAGTCTGCAATCTGTACCCAAACCCTTAATACCTCTGAGTATTTACTTTGGAATGCTTGGTGACTAAATAACTATTATTAAGAAACTTCACCAGTGAAATGAGAGTCAATGCAATAAGAGCAACTATTCTCAGCTTTCAAATTTGATTAGAGTTGTGATATAATTCATACTTTTATATAATATGTAGTGATATATTAAAAATAGCATAGTTTGGCAAGGTTTTATTTACAAAATAGGGGAATGACAGGGACAAGGCATTAATCAAGCTTAGTCCAGCCTGGCAGTTTATACTGTGAGCTCCAGAGTTAGCATTCAGAAAGGAATGGTGGCATTGATTTCGGGACATAGCCGGTCCAGGGAACTTATAAGTGAAGGGAACTTATAAGTGAAAGCAGGAGAAAGAAAACTCTGATTGCTCTTACCGGATTCTCCCATTTCCTGCTACAGTTCCCCATTGCCCGCTGGCCCTCTGGCCTCTAACCCACATTAAATTCGGAGGTGCCGGGACCTTGCTGATGCCAGCCCATGCTGTCAGCTTCCCAGGGCAGAAAGTAGGGTGGAGGATGGGCAGAGTAGTTGCAGGGCTCACAGGGAGACAGATGGTACATTTGGTATTTTAGAATCAGTCACTGTATTGCTAGGCACATCGGCCCCACCTTTTCTTTCCCTTGCCTCTCTCTCCAAATAGAGACTTAAACCTTGAAATCAGGACAGAATTAAGCACAGAAGTCTAACTCTGCTTCCGGTTTCTCAGACACTTCCTGTCCCTCTGGAGCGCCTCATTACTCCTATCACCTCAGATACCAGCGACACATTGATGAGTCTAAAACCCACTGCTCAAGCCCGTTCTCTCCCCTCTGCTCCTCAGCCCCTCATGGGTGTCTCAGGGAGCCTTCTGCTTAGTTTCGGCTGGATGTTTGGCAGCCTTCTCAAACTATTGTCCATGAAGGCATCCACATTTTACTGCCTCATGTCCTAACAAATCACAGTGCTAATGAACTTGTTTGTTTTCCAGAATGAAGAATTAAAATGTTCAGAGGAGTCTGATACAATTCTTTTTAGAAGGGTAACCACAGTTACTTAGTGAGTTGAAAATCTTTTTCTAGATCCATAGTCCCACACCAGAGCTTAAAGTTTCTGCAACTCACAGATACTTTATGTAAACATTTTTTGTCTTCTAAAAAAGTATCCATTGCAAACTTATGTTGCATTGGGAAGCCAACTTTAAAACTAACAGAATAATAATATATGTTATCTATTCATAGCAACAGGTTTCAAAATATATTTTCTATTCAATGTGTTCGTAATTTGCTTTCACCTCGATGATGGTACCAGCTAACACTTACCAAGTACTTCCTATGGGCTAGCCTCTACATTCGTAAGTCTCCTAAGAATCCTATTTTGATGAAGAAGCTAAAATTGAGGAGGGTTAAAAGACCTCATAGCCGAAATGGTGGTGCCCAGTTTTCACTTACTTCATCTCCAGAACAAGTAATCTTCACTTTACATTTCAGGGAGAATGTTGAAAGACTGCAAACTAGATGCTGCTAGTCTAACGGTGAAGATGTTAGGAGTGAGGAAGTGGGCGAAAAGATGCAATAGTCTTGAAGAAGCTTTATAAGAAATTTTAAAGTAAAAGTTGCTGAAATCATAAAGCCCTTTTCCTTTTTCTTTTTTGAACATTAGCTAAGAGTGGATTGCACTAGATATTAGGGACTGGAGCTGAGGTGTAAGCCAGAGGTATTGGGGTGGGGGTTGGTGGTGAGAAAATTCACCAGAGACAAAAGTGGGGAGCAGAACAGGCAGAGCTGCTGAAATCCACTGCTGAGGGGAGCAGCGGGGAGACAGGAGAGGTTTGCTGTGCCATGTGGGTCACCTCCCTGGCAAGGGATGGAACTCAGGCCACAACAGTGATAGCAATGAGACTTAACCCCTAGGCCACCAAGGAGGGGTTAATACATTTTAATGAGCTTTAAAAGATAACAAAGATTTGGCCCTCCCTGGTAGTGCAGCAGGTTAAGGCACAGCACTGAGAAACTAAAGCCACTTCCGCCTGCCCTGGAGGTGATCCACATGGCTCCACAGACTTCTCCTGACTCGTCCACTGCTCCCCTCAGCAGTGTACTTTGACTATCTGCCTGTTCTGCTCCCCACTCTGTCTCTGGTGAATCCTCTCACCGCCCCTGCACCCCTGGCCTGTACCCCAGTTCTGTATACAAAAAAAAAAAAAAAGATAACAAAGACTTGTGTGTAAGGTTTGCAGAACATTAAAGAAATTTGATAAAATACATTCATTCTATTTATTCAAAGAGCATTTCTTGGGGTCCCACAAGGTGCTGGAAGCTGGAGAAACAAAAAAGAAAAAGGTAGTCCTTGTCCTGAAGAAACATGTCATGAGTGAAGATAACTTCTGGGACAGCAGACAGGTCAGAAGAATGGAGCAACAAGGGAAGGGAGGGATTTCACAGACTGCGGGTTTATAAAATGTCAGATATATCGTCAGCTGGTCCCTGAACAACAAAAAGTCAAGACTGTATGCTGACTATAGAAAAGGGTGTTTGGAAGGAATCCATCCAGTGGCTAGGGCTGAAAGGTGTTTCACTATGACACCCACAATGCTTTAGGTGGCGTAACAGGGGGACATTTATCTCCCAGTTTTATTAAAATAATTTGGAGAGTAAAAAGCACATTTTTACATTTTTACATTTTACATTTTTATTACTAAAATACAGTCATATTGTTATTCAGTTGGGTCCAACAGCTTATGAATTAGCAAGCTATGGCAGGTGACACAATTCCTCAACTGGGCGGGCAGTTGGCTTTGGCTCCCTTCCCGGCCAACTTGGGCAGGGGTTTATGGTCCTCAGCTTTCAGAGTGTCTAGGGCAAGATACCTGGAGACTACGACTATTTTTATCGTGGAGAAGTGTAAAAATAAAGTTAAGCTCATCATCTCGGGGGAGGCTGCGGCATGGGAAGCTGGGAGCCTGGGCCCTCCTCGGCACCCACGACCTCTCATATCGCAAAGCCCTCAGCCTGCAGGTACCCTTTTGTGACCAGAGACACAGCCTCCAGTTCTGGAGCGGTCCCTAGGCTAGGTGCTTCGTTGCCTGGCAACCCTCTGCCGCCAGACCCCTGTGTAGCCTCTCTGCTATTGGCTCATAGGTTGCAGCGTGCGTCTGACGTCATTGCGCGGCGCCGCCAGACCCCAGGACCGCGCGAGAGCTTCTATTTCCGGAACTCTGCCCCTGCGCCCGGGGCGGCGAGAGTGGCTGCGGTAGCCGGGCGAGCGCCTGGCAAAGCCCACGCTGGCGCGGCGGCTGGGTGTGGACCCCGACGGGGGAGAGGCGTGGTAGGAACGGTTTCGGGAGCCGTGGTCCGCGGCCGCAGGGTCCCGCGGTGCGTGCTCTCCGGACCACGCTGGCTTCTCGCCGGCTTCCCGCCAAGACCGCCGGACCCCGTTGCTAAGGACGTTGGGGATGCCGAGCGCCCCGGGCGCGCCCCTGCGTTCCTGGGGTCCGGCTTTGGCCAGGAGTAGTTTTCATCCGCCCGGATTGAAAGCGGCCCCCGGGCGCACTCCCCAGCCTCCTTAAAAATTGTCCCGCTTCATTTTTTTCTACGTGCTCCCTCATTTCCGACAACACTCCGACCTCAACTGGTCGTAGGTGTTTGGAAGTGGATGGGGTTGGAGAGAGAGGAGTCAGGAGAATGGAAAGATTTTGAGACCCTGTAGATTAACTTAATAGGACAGAAGGGGAGTCGGGGTAGGTGGGTGTGGACTGTTTCTTTGACAACGTGAAGGCACTTTAGCGATGGGACACAGCGTCCTTAATGGAGCGCCAGTCTCGCTTCTGTAACTTTCCAGTGCGGGTGTCCAGAGTAGGAAAGAAACATGGCCACCAAGGGAAGTCAGCAGGCCGTTTGTTTGCAGTGGTCTTAAACCAGGGTGGAGGAACAAAATGCATCTAGGCAAAGAAATAGGATGTATGAGATGGCCGAAAGAAGAAAGGGATGTATGGTTGACCTGCAGCGTGGAAGGACGCCTGAGAGACTAGTGTGGAGTCCCGCTTATTTTGTTTTCCGATATTGTGGCTGAGTTTGGTGTTCAGGCTAAGTGGGTCGGAAAACTGGTGTTACCTTTTATATCATAAACCTAAGTGCGATTACTTTCGTGCAGTTTAGGTGCTGATGAAAAGTTGACTGGGAAAGTTGGCTACATCGCTGGGAAAGTAGGACTGGATAGGCAGATGTTCACGTTTGGAACTTGGAAATAAGCAGGCCAGACAAGGTGAAGCCTGAGGGGATATGCCAGCCTCGCCTGTCAGAAATCTGTATTCTCTGAAGAGCCAGAGAATTGCAATCCAGTTTCTAAAAGTCTTGACCGTTTCAATGGGGGGAAAAATCTTTATTTTTACAGCCCTTGTTTTCTTAACCAGTGTGAGTCGCAGCTCCTGCTGTTATTGAAGTTGATATTTCATATTTTTTCATTGGTCTGTCAAGTATTTTGTTCCATACTTTATCTTTTCTGTGTGCCTTTCACTGCATTTTCTACTCTGCTCCATTTTGAAATTTACATTATTAATGAATCCCTCCAGCCCCTCAATGTTGAACTTCTGTTTTATTTAGCTGCAGGAGTAGGAGGGAAGCAATGCAGAAATCAGAGTGCCATGGGGGCGAGCAGCTGAGAAGCCGGGTGGCAGGTACAGAACTTTGCTTTCTAAACAAAGACTTAGGTTTAGTCAGCACAATGTTCCATGTGTCATGTGGGGGTGAGCTTTGGCTCGCACCTCTTTTTTGTTGATATTCTGTTCTCTCAGGTAACTGTGACCACAGGACTCCATCAAGCTCACAAATAAAACACAGGAATACAGTTCAGCGAAGCAAATCCTCGTCATCAACCAGTTCTCCAGACTCTGCAAGAAAACTTCATCCTCGACCAAGTGATAAACTTAACCCTAAAACAATTAACCCGGTAAGTACAGAAGAGACTCCCAACTCGGTGTATTTGACAGAGCATCAGCCCTACGCGCACCTGCACCGTCTGGTTGCTCTTCTCGTGCATCTTCTGTGTTAAACTAGTGACAGAGGACCTGTGGGGATCATGATGGCAAACAGTGAGCGTGGGGGGAGATGACGTTGAGATTAGCCATTCTAGCTACCACCTGTCACTTTGATGGATGAGTACTGTTAAATATAAAATAAATTCCATACCAGCTTTCTCTCTCTTGTTTACGATGGTCATCAGACTTCTCAGTGTCCGAGTAAACTTGACTCAGTTGTCTGGGATGAAAGACATGCTCCCATGATCGTTTGAAGGTCGCCAGTCTGTGATTTATCAGTTAACTCCACCAGAAATCCTAACTATCGTATAAGGCTTCTTTTAATCAGATTTAACAGACTTTGAGATGTCGGTAATGAAATGTGTAGTTACAAAAATGTAAATCAGTGGATGGTCCGAAAGAGCATACAGCTGTGCAGCATCACCAGTGGGGTCTGGCCCAGCCCCTCAGGGTGAGAGGAGAGGGCGTCAGCTTTTGAAGGTGGCTGTGAAAGGGTTGTAGTCTTTGGCAGGTGAAATCAACTGGCATTCAGGTCGGTAAAGGGCGAGTGGGCTGGTCAGGCTTTTCGTCGTTAGCCTCTGTGGCTAGCACCTGCCGCCTTGAATGTGGGCGGCGCTCCGGAGCGTAGGCGCGCGCGCTATCTGACGTGGACATGCAGTGGGCATGCGTCAGTGGGCACACCTGGGCCTGGAGGCTGAGCCCGTCCTGGCGGGGTCGCGCAGAATGGCTGCGGCAGAGAGCAGCTAGGAGAGGGTGGGTGGCTACAGACAGGAAGAGACCACTGGGGAACGCCAGAGCGCCCAGAGGGAAGAGTGTGGAGAGCCTCACAGGGCCCGAGTTGCTGTCTCCCTGCGGCCTTGTTTCCCCTGTGCACTGTTAGGACATCTGTGGTGAGGCCAGGGGCTCTGAGGTCTCTTTTACGTTGCCCAAACCAACGTTGAACGGGAACTGCCTGCCTGGGATGGTTGCAGAACACTTGGCGTGAGTGGGCAGGATTCGATGCAGATGGGTCTGCAGCCCCGGAAGACCTCAGGAGGGACTGAGGGGCGATGGGCTGCGAGTATGTAGCGCTCAGTGGCTCCTCTCTGGGCACCTTCTGAGTTCCCGGCGCCGGTGGAGGGGACTGCATGCATTGGGGGGCCGTCGGATGGACATGGTAGGTGGACGTGGTCTCTGCTCAGAGGCGCCTGGGGATGAGTGTCCCTCCCAGCTGTGCGAACAGTCGAGGACACGCTGGAGGTGCCAGGGCCGCAAAGGTGGTGGCCAAAGCCCAGGAGCTGCGGGGAGAGCTGAAGGCGCTGCAGGAGCTCAGGAGGTGGGCCAGGGGCTGCAGGCCAGACCGTGGGTGCAGAGACGGCCCCAAGGCCCAGCCCACTACCCCTGAGGCCGCAGGCCCATCTCGGAAGAAGGGGACCACTGGGAGTCAGATTGTAGGCAAGTGAACTGGTCAGGCTTTCTCACCACTGGCCTCTGTGGCTATCACCTGCGGCCTCAAGTGCAAGAGGCCTTGAGACCCTGGGCCGAGGCACGTGTGCCTGAGGGCGGACACCTGGAGCAGGTGCGGGCACGGGTAGGTGGGTGCACCTGGGCCTTGAGGCCGAGGCCATGATGGCGGCATCACACAAAATGACTCTGAGAAGATGAGTGACTGCAGAGAGGTCGAGACCACCAGAGAACGCCAGAGGTGCGTTAGAGACTCGCAGGGCCCGAGTGGCTGTCTCCCTGCTGGCTGGTTTCTCCCTCGTGCTGGTGGGACACCAGTGGGGTGAGACCAGGGGCTCTGAGGCCTCTGACCTTGCCCGAACCAACGTTGACCCTCCCGACCTGGGGGTCCAAACGAGTAAGATACGATGAGCTAAGGGCAGACGAGTGTCTGGCTTTATAAACGACAAATGAAGAAGAGTGTGAGCATCTGTGACCCTTTGTTTATTCTTTAATCTGTGCTGTCGAGGCCGCTGAATGTTGGGGATGCTGACAGCTGCTTCCTTTTCCTGCATTGAGTTGGCATTCTGGTGACACTTTGATTTTCTTTCTTTTTAAAGAAAAGTCATTTTTAAAGTAGTAACACTTAGTGCTCCTCATCTTAATTTTTTTTTTCTTCTTAAATTTTGTAAAAGTTATTACTGAAAAAATAAGCAAAGTATGCATTTGGGAAATGATTCTGATTTGACCTTTAGAGTAGAGTATCTTAGAAAAGAGCACGTCGAAGCTGTGAGAAAGCCAATCCAGTACGTTGGCGGAAGTCGAGAGCATGGCTGCCTCTGGGAGGAGGGCGAGTTGGGGGGGGGAAGAGGCGCTGTGGAGGCTTCGTGGGCACCGGGAACAGGTTTCCACCTGGTGTTGTTTCACAGGTATTTCACTTTTTGAGCATTCACTAGTTATACATTTACTGTGCTTTACTGTACTCGTTCCAAGTATGTCATTTGAAACAAAACCTTTTTTTAAAGATATTTGTGCACACAGAACTGGGGTACAGCCAGAGGTGCAGGGGTGGTGAGAGGATTCACCAGAGGCAGAGTGGGGAGCAGAACAGGCAGATCCACGAAGTACAATGCTGAGGGGAGCAGCGAGCGGGTCAGGAGAGGTCTGCCGCGCCCTGTGGTAACCTCTGGGGCGGGGATCGAACTCATGCGGAAGTGGCTTTAGCTTCTTCGCACTGTGCTTTAATCCGCTGCGCCACCAGGGAGGGCCCCAAAACATTTAAGACTTGATAACTCAGTGTAGTGGTGTATATTTAGTATACTTAATGGTCTTGGAGGTGAAATGCAGTCTATGATGTTATTGTTAAAAATTGAAGACTTTTCAGCAGTGGAATTTAGGTAATCTTTGGTCAAAGATAATAAAATTAATTGTAGTAAAAAGTGGTACCTGGAAGGTGAAATGATGATTGTCTCTAAAATGAATTGGAAAGAAATGAAAGGAAAGAAATGACTTAGAATGACTATCAGAAATTTTATATTGGTGGGTGCTTTGCAAACTTAGGGATTTATTTACATGGGCTATAGGTTCAAAAGCAAGTAGGTGTTATTAGGTGCTAGTAGGTGGAGGAGCTAAAGGAGTATTGGTGGCCTTAATTTGTTTTAACTTTGGCACAATGCAAGTAGTGCTTTTTTCAAGTGATGTGTCTATTTGATAGCATGATTACTTGAAAGCAGTTTTTAAACATGTTTATTAGAAGGAATTTTGACTAGATGTTTGAAACACTATTGCTGTGAATTACTGTGGAGTATGGGTTAAGCTCTGTAAGTGAGATTGTATTTTAATGATGTTTCACCTATGCATTTTTATTAAAACATGTTTTATCCAGAGGTAAGAGAGCTAACTTGAAACTGTTAAGTAGATTTTTAAATTACTGCGTGTAATTTAGAGTGTTTTTATCTAGTTACATATTTAAAATAGATTAGTAAATTTTTATTTTGTAAATTTTGACATCTGTTTCATTTGATTATGTTCAAAGTACCGTTTGATAAGATATTCACTAAATAGTTTCTGAGAGGAGATACAGCACTATCTCTAAGATAATGTGTCACAGAATTGAAAGTTGTAATGTTAAGTTGGCAGACATGCACAGGCCAGTTAGAGCCTTGCTGAGCTCTCCCTCTGCCCCACCAGCCCTTCGGTTTAGAGGAGTTACAGCTACTTTGACCATCCCAACTGCCCGTTTGGGGCAGGAGGACAAGCAGGCAGTGATAGGCTGGAGGCTGCACACACGTGACACCTCTTGCCACTTAGTCCTCACTTTGACAGGCGACAGCCCGTTGAGAGGTGGGGTGGGAAAGATGGATGATGCTTTACATGTTCACTTGTTGTATTTACACGTAGCAGTACTGATGCGTATCTGGGTTACAGGATGGCTTTAGCTACTGTCCAGTCTTCTGAAACAAGAGGGGCAGGAGAGTGGGGGGAAGGGACATAGGCAGAGACTCTTGTCCTTGCAGTTTTAACCCTGAGAGAACTGAACACTTCTCAGCCACGTTGCTGAGTTAAATGACGGTCTTGATGTCAGCTTGGGGGCTGCCAAGTCAGGGTGTCCGGTGCCTCTGGCCTGAGCAGGATTAGCGCTGATAAGCGGGAGGGAACAGCAGTGTTAATGTGTTCTTGTCCTTTCTCTTTTCAGTTTGGTGAACAGGCCCGGGCCCCCTCTGCCTTTGCAGCTATTTACTCTAAAGGCGGTATTCCTTGCAGGTAAGGTCAGTGCAAGGGTAAAGGACTGGACTGTTCAAGCTAGTTGTCAAGTCAATGCAGTATTCAGGGTAACTGTCTTGAAAGTGTTGTTTTCTAGGAAGGTTGAAAGAAAGGTGACTTGTGTACACTTTGGTAGTTAGATTGTTACAGCTCCTGGGACATCACTGAAGGAAATCGTTTTAAGTTCAACACAGGACTAGCAATAGATCTATACTAAGCTACCAGATAATTTAAGGAGTTGAGTAAGCCAGTTTCTGGAACAGTTTAAGCATCACTGAGTTGAGCATGTTGCAGATTCCAGTGTGTTTTTAAACTTAGCTTAAATTGTCTCATTGTTTAAAACTGATTTCAAATTTAAAAAATATTTTTAGTGAATACATAACATTCTTTTGCTTTTGATATTTTCATTGTTTTTCTCTAGAGACATCGGAACTATTTCAAAGAAAGCAGTATGAGTTACTACAAGAAATGATATTCTAGATTTTACTGTCAAGAGACAGTTATAAGTATATTCAGCTTTAAACTGTTCTAGATGATTGTTTCCTCTTCATTGGGGAAAGTTATTTTTATTAATAAGATTAAAGATGTGTATTTTTAAGTGGTGAGTCGAGATTTGGGACTGTGAGAAGCAAGTTTTAGAAACATCGTTCAGTTTATTTTTTTTTTTAAGGAATTATTTTTACTTGTGCATACAAGAATTGGAGTGTAGGCCAGAGGTGTGTGTGTTGGGAGAGGGGGTTGTTACCAGAAACAGTAGGGAACAGAACAGGCAGACTGACTGACACACGCAGCTGAGTAGCAAGCGCGTGAGACAGGAGCGGTCGGCTGTGCCATGTGGGTCAGCTCCCCGGCTGGGGGTTGAACTCTTGCTGCAGCCACTGCACACAACTTTGTAGCGTTGGCTTTAATCCCTCTGTCACCAGCACATTTTATCATTTCATATTTACATTCAGAACCAAAACCCCATTTTAAGGTTCCTTTTACCCCTTTTCCCACGAAAACCAATGTATTGTTAAAAATGTGAAGTCCCATTTTAGGGGTTGAAGTGGGGAAAGGGATCAAAAACAGTGGGGGGAGGGAAGTGCACTGGACAATGGTGATGGTCCAGGATGATTTGGTGATGGGAAGCCCATGGGGATTGCAAATGAGATGGAAAAATGCACAAAATGATGGGAAAAACTATTTTATAAAAAAAATATGAAATCAGTATCACTGACGTCTCTTGCTATTATGAAAATAACAGTAAAGGAGCAGTCAGAGCTTGAGCACGTGCGGGCAGCGCCGTCACGCTTGGCTGCCAGGCCCCTCCCTCACCCAGCAGAGCTCACCGCAGCCAGCTCTGCTGCTGGGACGAAAGTGGGAGCAGCGGTGGCTTTGGGCTCTGGGCTTCGGGCTGCCCCGAGCAACCCTGCGTGGCCCTTCCTCCGTCCTGTCTTCAACCTTTATCAGGAATAAATCTCGTCTTCAAGTCATTACTGTGCGCTTTACCTGATCTCTCTGAAAAAGAAAGCTCCTTAGATCAGTTGTTTCTAATGATCACCTCGTGTTTGCATTTTCTGTCGTTGTGAATTACCCACCTCGTCATGTTCATTAGTGACGCGTAGCGAGCGTTACCTTGGCTTTAAGACTCGGGCAGCTTGCGTCAGCTCCAAAACTGACAACAACTTTGGGTTGGTTTAGTTTTGCCCGGAATAATTTTGCTGAAAAAACAGGTATTTACTTTATTGGGCATCTTCATGGTTAAAGTCTTAGCGTTGCTTTGCTGTAAAAAGTAATTCTTACGGTCCTGTGTTACATATCATGGTTTAATTTATATAACTGTCCATGCTACATTCATTGACGTTTGTATTTTAGGTTGGTGCATGGTTCAGTGAAACATAGATTGCAGTGGGAATGTCCCCCTGAGGACCTACCATTTGATCCTCTTCTGATTACTTTAGCTGAGGTAATAAATATCCGTCTCTCCTGAGTGTCTTCAGAAAATTAAACTTCTAAGATGCATTTAATATTTCCTGTAGTTAACAAAAACGAATGCTTGCAAATCACGTATTTGGCTTTGGCCTTCGGCAGGGCCTGCGAGAGACTAAGCATCCGTACACCTTCGTGTCCCAGGAGGGCTTCCGGGAGTTGCTGCTGGTGCCCGGCGCTCCCGAGAGAGCAGTGCCGATGCTCCCTCGGCTGATCCCTGTGCTCAGGGCGGCGCTGGTGCGTCCCGGATGCCCTTTGCCTGTCTGTGGTACATTTCGCATGCCCTGTCTGTCTTTCCTGCCACGTCAGATGCAGATTAGCCCTGATCCCGATTTTGCTGGGTGTGTAGGATTAAGCCACTGTTGTGCAGGGCCAGATGACTGCTCCTTCAGCAGATGTGCGCAGGGGAAAGGGGCATTTTGAGTAATTAGACAAAGTAGTGAATCTCCAGTTAGTCTTTATGCCACATCCTGTTTTAGTTAATGTTTCAGTTAAACCAAATTTGTTCTTTGCTTTTAGATTTTCTGCATTAACGGTTTCTGCACTTCTGGGGTTGCTTGAGTCTCTTCTGACTTGGCTAGCCAGGCTTGCTTTCTTGGCTGCACCTGCCGCCCTTTCTCCTAACGCATTCTCCCTTCCTTCCCCTGCTTTTTCTCCTTCCCCCTCACCGACCCACCCGCGCAGGTCCATTCGGAGGATGAGGTGTTTGAGAGAGGGTTGAACGCTCTGGTGCAGCTCAGCGTTGTCGTTGGGCCTTCGCTCAACGACCATCTGAAACACCTGCTGACTGGTGTAAGTGTCAGGGCGTGAGCGCCGGTCGTGTTGCTCACGCTCTGTAGCTCCTCTGGCTTGATGGCTTCACGTTAGTCATTAAAGTGATTCAAGCCCTAATAAAGACGCATCCTGCCGGCCCACACCTGTGGAGATGAGGCCTTAGCGTTCATAGAACGTTTACTAATTGACAGGGTTCTTTGTAGTTATTTGTCTGGCAACAAAAATTAAGCAGAGCTGAGTGGACAGGCGTGACCCAGTGTGGCGGCTGTCGGCCTGGGTGCTGTGTGCGCGGCCCGTGCACCTGTGTGCGGCCACAGCCACATTTACCACCTCTCTTTGGTTTTCATTGTCAGTCTTCTAGTGAGTGTGTAACTACACTCAGGCTGTGATGTTTCCCTCCACACCTACTTTAATTTAACCTTTACATGTCCACCTGGGCCCTGCAGTTCAGGAGGCCATTCCAGTCTTAGCTTTACAGTTTGCTGGAGGGTTCTCAGGACTCAGAGCAGCTGTTACTCATCATTGCCGTGCATGACAATGGAAGGACTGGGGTGAAATCGCAAAGGGAAGAAGTGTGGAGGCCCAGGAGCGCGCTGCTGTCTTCTCTGGCTCTGTGGGCAGAGCAGGCATTGCTTGGCACTAGTGTGGCAGCATGCAGTGTGGCTACCTGCGAAGCTCACCTGAGCGCTCAGGGCCATATCCACGGCCTGCCATGTGGGTAGGGGTCCTGCCAGCATGGTTGAGCTGATGGGCGGCGGTCCGAGGCCCCCCCCGTCTGTCACATTTTACAGCACATGGGGTAGGCCCCGCTGCCCTCAGTAAACAGTCACTCTTACCTGGCAGGACACCCCAGGGACTTAGAATTGCCATCCTGGAGCCAGGGCCATACCCTCCTTGTGAAATTAATCTTCTCTGGCACACAGCAATAGAAAGTTTGAAGTCCTGGCAGCAATAACTCAGTAACTGTGACTTTTTGTTTTTAAAGATTTATTTATGCTTACAGAACTGGGGTACAGGCCAGAGGTGGGGGGGGTGGTGAGAGGATTCACCAGAGACACAGTAGGGAGCAGAGCAGGCAGATTGACTGAAAGACACGCCTGAAGGGAGCAGCGGGTTGGTCAGGAGAGGTCTGGGGCGCCATGTGGGCCAGCTCCCTGGCGTGGGATTGAACTTGTGTGAAGTAGCTAGCTTCATAGTACTGTGCCTTAACCCGTTGTCCCACCGGGGAGGGCCAGATATTTTTTTTATAACAAGTGTAGTTTTAAACAACTATACCTTTTAAAAACAAGTGTAGTGGTTGTCATCTTCATAAAATTAAGATATTTTCTAAAATAAGCCTTGAAATCTAAAGTAAATTAAGCGCTATTTACATCCTACTATAAAGAAGATTCCATGGCTTTATTCCTAGCTAGGCTGCTTTCTAGTGAAATGTTTCTTATGCTTATGGTGAGTACTGTTACTTTTTCCAATCATCTGTTTCTGCCAATTTTGTCTTGAAAGCTGTCCAAGAGACTGCGGGACAAGAAATTCAAGGAGCCAATCACCAGCGCCTTGCAGAAGCTGGAGCAGCACGGGGGAGGAGTAAGCTCGCCACTGTTTCTCCGAGTCGCTTGCTCGCTTGGGTTATATTACGAGCGGACAGTTACCCAGCTGCAGCCGCTTGTTGATGTTACCGTCACTCTGGAGCAGAGCTTGTCTCTGGCCGAGGGGTTTGGGCCCCGGCCGCAGGCCGTGTGGGAGGCGGGCCTGCTCCGAGCGTGGCGCTCGCTGGGCGTGGCCAGGGCTGCTCGGGCTGACTCTGTTCCGCCCACAGGGAAGCCTGCTCATCATCAAGTCTAAAATCCCGACGTACTGCTCGGTCTGCTGCTGAGCGAGGGGCCTGCTGACGCGCCGGCGCGGAGACGGCCCCGCAGGAGCCACCACCCACTCGCCCTGGCTGGCCAGCGCCCGCCGTTCTGACTTGCAAGTTTTCGCTAAGTATCCGCCACCCCACTAGATCATAGTGCAAGTGGCTCGTCACCAAATGGCTAATGATGGAGACAATTAAAGCAGTTCTGTAAGTATGGCTTTGTGGGGTTTTTATGGTTTGTGTGGTTTGTGTGCCCAGCACCATCGCGTTTACAGGAGGTTACTGCTTGGCGTCCAGCGCCTTTAGTTTACAGCAACCCGTGTGCACGGACTGGGACATTTTCCCATTTCTTGAGGTTTATGAGGGCTGTGCGAACTTAAAATGGCAAACAAGAGAATTCACTGTGACTATAAATATGTGTTTTATAATGTAAAATACTTGGGAAAGTGTCTAGAGTGTTCTAGCTTAAGAAACTTATTTTAAATGCATAAATTCTCATGTGTGTTGTTTACTACAAGGCACTGATACTACCTAAACTTTAGGTATTAATTATATTTAAGTACATGTTATTTTTGTATTTCATAGAAAATACTGGAGCTACTCAGCACACAAAAATACTCAGAAATTAAAGTCTTAAAACGCCCGAGTAGTCAGCGATTTTGTTGTACTTGATTACGTAGTGGTTCAGTTTTTAAAAGCTTTAAAGCAGAACTTGTGTTCAGAGTGTTGGTGTAGTGGGAGCTCACACTTCCCCTGAGAGAGAGGAAGAGAACTAGAAAGCCAGCGCACCCCCGCCACTCCCGGGCCAGCGGAGCCCGAAGGGACCGAGCACCTGCCTGGCGGAAGCAGGTCCGCGCTGGCGGGCCGGACGCGCGGTCAGGCCGTGGCGCGGGAGGGCCGCGCCCTGTCCGGGCAGCGCCAGAGGACTTAATTTTACCCCACCCCTCTTTAGCTGCCACTTCGCGGTTCTTTCCAGACACGGCCACTCGCCGCCGGCACCGGCTGCTGCTTGCTGCGCTGAGCACCCGCAGAGGGACTCCAGGCCAGCGGCAAAGCGTGGTGTGTGTGAGCGAGGGCTTACGGAATGTGCTGGGATAAAGAGCTACAGAACAGAGTCTACCGAGTTATAAACATTTTATTTGCTTTTTTGAAATACAAAATGTGCACGCTGAGTTTACACAGACACGCGATGGCAGCTTTCAGTGTACATGGACTGTACTACTCTGGATTCTACGCTGGCGCCAGCAGGGCGGCTGTCCTCATCCTGTCCCTACACCTGAATAGACACCTGATTGCTGTGGCCAGGACAGTGGCACACTTCCTCCTACGGAAGCCTCTTGGTCTTTGTGACGTTTTGGCAAAACAGGGAAGGTGTGTGTGTCTTCAGTCAGGTTGTGGCGACTTGCGATTTTGGCTTAAGATCATTCAAAAGAAATGGAATTATGGGAATGTTACAGTGCTCTAAATCAGAAGCGCTGTTTAGCTCTTGTATTCACTTTTCCACGACCTGTTGGCATCCTAGCTCTCAACATGGTGCAGTTACTGATGCTTTCAAAGTGAATTCTGCTTGCTGGTCATTCCTGGTAGGCGTGGGGGTAGTCTGGTTGCTTTGTCCCTGACGGCACGTAACAAACGTGCTGAGGTCAGAGGACGGTCTAGGCCTTTGATGCTGCTAAGAGACTTGCCTCCCGGCATTCTGCACTGGGGACAGACATCCTGGGAACTCCCTTGCTTTGTTTCACACCTCTTAGACTTCCATTCAATAACAATAGAAACCTCAGCCTCTAGGATTAAACAAATCCAAAATTATATACATTGTGCAGGCCTGTGATGGATATTATGAAAAATTAAATGCTCATTAAATATTATGGTGTGTATGCTGACAGCTGGCAGTAAGCTAATACGGTGTTACAAAAAATGCCAGCTGAATGGATGTCTGACAGAAGGCAGCAGATCCATCAAAACTGGGACTGGGTTTGTTTTCTAATTGCATTAATCTTGTTTACTTTATGTAAATGAATTACAGCATACAAGCGTGGAGACTAATTTCTTGAAATTAAGTGCAGATGCCAATATTGTAAAAAACCATTGAAACTCCTGGGGCTGAATACTTACAAATGAGGAGCAAAACACTGGTATTTTAAAATCGCTCTAATGTGGAAGCCTCAGTAGTCTCGTGGCTAAAGAATCCCTAAAACTATATATGCCAGATTCTGGTACTTTTCAATATTGACAGGGTATGAAATGGTTTGGAACATCCCAAGAACTCAGTGGTGTCAGGAAAAGGATGCAAATTTTTAACCAGAAAACTCAAATCTTTTGGGGGTTGCTTTATAGTAAAACAAAGCTTGTCTGCATGATGTGCCTCAGTGCAAGCTGAGCAGTCTATGCTACAAGGGCGGCCCCAGCTGGGAGTGCGGTGGGGAGTTCACACCTGTCTGTCTGGTTCAGATCTCCGGCTGACGAGCTAAATCACGTTTTCGAAGAGCTGCATGGAGCGCATGATGTTTTCATCCTGTGAGGGAGAAGTAGAGCGGAATCAGACACAGCAGATCTATCCATGCCTCCCCTGACCAGTCGCCTGAGCCCAAAGCCGAGTCAGTGTTCCTTGAGATCTTTGATTCACTGCAAGTGATTGACAATACAGACCTTTGGCATTAAAATCGTTAACATCCTGTCGGAAGAATTGGTCACAGGTTGATCTGTTTCCCCCTTGAATAACTGTCCTGCTGTTGCGCACCAGACTCCTGACTGCAGCTATATTACTTCTGTACTTCTAGACAGTGCTTTTCGTAAGACAACACATCTTACTCACCTGGAGGAATAAGCACCTGTTGCATATACACAGCCCTCAATAAAGAAAGATCCAATAGTAGGTATGTGCGGTATTTGCAAATGTAAACATTCTGTCCATTTCCCGTCATCATCACAGATGACAATGGAGAACCTATTTACTTTTCCATAAGGCTTTGAACTTCATTGACTCTTACCTGCTGTTCATAGCGGGTTCTTGTGTCAGAAGGCCAGAACAGAAACAAAAGACACCGAGGGTCGACAGTGAGCTGCAGGCATGCCCATAGCTCCCAGTCACAGCTCGTACGCCAGGAAGGAACAGGGCTGGTTGCGAGCCAGCTCCATGGGAGTTGGGACACAGGTCTCAGGAATTACACCTGTTGTGCTGGGGCTACAGCTGATCTTTAGGAAGTGCCAGGGAAGGTGACCTGCACTGGGGGAAGCCAGTGCCCAGTGCTGTGGTGGTCAGTCAAGTGGACAGTATGTGACGGTACCCAATAGGCTGCTTAACTGGGAGTCAGGTTGACTCCCGCTGTTCGAAGCCAAGTAACCTTGCCACTCAGCTGACTGATGATGCACCAAGTGAAGTTTCTCAGACATCACCGCATGCAGTCAGGGCAATGATGTTTCTCTCAGAAATCGAGTATTGAGTCGGGGTGACTCAGACGCGGCTGTGCTGGGATCCTGAGTCTGCAAAACTGTGGCAGTGTACACGTTATAGGCTAAGAACATTTCACATCATTCTGTCCTCGAATTCTCGCTAAAGAAGAGAGAAAAACAGTGCGTGCACAGCTTCTCTCTAGCGCTTATACGTAATCCGCCTGGCGGGGGGCGCTCTAATACGGGGAATGTCCGAAGCCAGTCTCAGCTATAGCGCATTAAGAAGCTTAGTCACTGAACACTAGTGCTCCGTTGACTGTAGGTAGCTAGAAAGCAAGAGGGTATTAGTTCCTTTGCTGTCATTACTTACTTTTTGGCAGCTTTCAATGAACTCATCTATGGTAACGACACCATCTTTATTTTTGTCCATTTTCTGTCAAGGAAGGGAAGAAACAAAAACTTTTCAGACTTAACCCCTCAGACCTGAAACGAATAAACTCAAGTGGCTGAAACAAAGCCAGCTGCATGTCTTTAGGGATGAGCTGCTTCTGAGCTCACACTAGTAGCTTCTTAGCCATCAGAACCACTGGGTTGACTGCTTTAGGTTGTTAACTTTGTCAACAGACAATAAAGATTTGTTGAAGGAATTCACCACATTAGGTAAAATCTTGCCTTCTCTAGGTTGGCTGAGGCAGTTTGCTGGAATGTTCAGAGCTTTGATTTTCTCATCAAGAAATGGGGCTGATTAGGGTTTATAACTTAAGAGGTCCTGGGAAAATTGAATGAGAACAACTCCACATGCAACATGGGAATTGCTTAAAGTTCTAGCTAGAGCATAGAGTGCCCCTGTTATAATAAATTCAAAACCAAAATTAATAAGATGGTGAATATTCTTTCAGCCCTTCCCCAGATCCCTCTGCCCCTTGCATCTGTTTGAATTAATGAAACGTCAGGAAATTTACTCTTGGTTCCTCTTCCCCTGACTTCTGCTTGCATTCTTACCTGAAAAAATGTCTCGACGTGTTGTCTGGGTGCGTCTTCTTTGAGGACAGGATATGTGCATTTACCCATCATGTCGTATATTGCTTTCATTATGTCAAGCATTTCCTGAAAGGTAAAAAATACTCAAGTGAGGCTCAAAAGTTTATGAAGTATTCACTCTGACACCCTGTCAGGTTATTCTTACTCAATTTCAAATGTTTGACCTTTGATTCTTGATTAAATGTCTTTGGTTGTCCCGAGAAGCCACAGCTTTACTATTCCTTAAAAGTAGCAGAACATAAGCATCGATTCTGATCTTGTCTCAAGATGACATAAGTTCCTACAGCTACAGGTCTCAAGATGACATAAATTCCTACAGATACAACAGGGTCGAGAAAGGAATATTCTTGGTTTGGGCAGTGGCGTTTCCACACGCTTCACAGAGACTATTCTATATTGTGTTGTATCTTAGCCGATCATTACTTCCCGTTAACTAAGACACAGTCAGGTCCGCATCACGAGGATTCCGCTGTGACTAACTGCAGCAGTCAGACAGGTAAGTCAGTCAGCGCACCTGTTAAAGGCCTGGAAGTGATTGACCTGAGACTGTTTAATGTAGACCGAGTCCACGGCACGAACTAGCTGCCAAGCTAGATTGCACTATCCCTTCCCACTCCAGATTTGTACTAGAATACAACTAGCACCACATAAAAATTGCAGATGTCCTGAAAAAAAAAAAAACACTCTAAAAATAGTAATTGCAACTTCATTTTGAAGTTAAAAAATAAAAACGGTCCCCAAAGACCAGCTGAGCAGTGTGGGTGAGGCATTTCTTACTTCTTTAGTGATGTAGCCGTCTTTATTGATGTCATACAAATTAAATGCCCAGTTGAGTTTTTCTTGTACTGTTCCCCGGAGCAAAATAGAAAGACCCTTGATGAAATCCTAAGGAGAAAAAAAAAAAAAGTTATTTCTAAGAAAGTAAAGCACAAACTCTGAAAAAAATCTGTCACATAACGGAAGCAAGGTTTATCAACCTGTGGATTTTAAATCATCAACGATGTGACCATTATATCTTGGTCATTTATTTCTCAGAATTCTTGTGGGCTTAACCCATCCCGCAGCTGTAAAGTGATGCATCGGTGCCGACCTGGAGAGCCTGTAACCACGGTCTGATGGGCCCGGAGTCCATTCATTGTCACTGCCGAAGCCAAGCCCCCATGAGACTTGCTCTGGCCTCTCCTTGCTTTCTGTGTACAGGGGCCAGTTTCAGCCTCACCCAGGAAACCCTGGAGGTTGTGGACCAGCAGTTGGTGAGCCAGATGAAGGGCCTGCAGAAATGGGTGTTGGGAAAGAGTAATCCCAGAGGTTGCTCATCAATTTGGGAAAGAGTAATCCCAGGGGTTGCTCCTCAGTTTCCAGGAGCTGGAGGGATGGACTGCTGGAAGCCTGGAGAAGGTCACTGGAGTACAAGGATGCCCTGAAAGGCCAGCAGCTTCAGTGTGTGTAAGGAGCAGCACGTAGCCCCCTGGCCGAGACCGGAAGAGAAATGGCAGGCACGGCGGGCTTGTCTCCACAGTGGGTAGTTTTGCTGGCCACCAAGCCCAGCTGAAATGCATTTAAAGGTTGGAAAGAGCTGAAATGGAGAATAGTGTCTAGTCTCTCTGTAAGCTCTCCAACTAGCACCTAGAGTGAGATAGCAAGATGGGTTGGCTGCTTCAGCACCCTGTTTTGCAAGACGACGGGGATAAGAGCTACTCCAAATAAGGACCAGGTGTTTTTGACAAAGCCTGACTGGGAGGCAGACAGGTGGAACCCCTGGGATGTTGAGAGGGAAGTGGGGCATGTTACCGTGACTGACAGTCCAAGGGCCCAAGCCCTGTGCCTTCCCTGAGCCAGGAGCACAAAATCAGCACCAGCTGGTGGGGTGCCCCCTGGTCGGGCAGTGATCATGGTGAGAAAAACTGCCCACCAGACTAACAGAGCTGCCAAGTCTAGCAAAAACCCAAGGAAAGTGCCCAGGCTGAAGTGGCTGCAGGCTCTGGTGAGAGGCGAGGGTGGAAGTGATGAGAGCCCAGGAGGCAGAGAAAAGGCACAAGGCTGCTTTGCAGCTCTAGTGGTTCTAGGTGCTCACTTCTCCCCTGGCCAGCAGGGTGGTGGGGCCCAATGAGGGTCTCCCTGGGTGCAGAGGCACTGGATGTCTGAAGACCTGCAAACGTTGTGAGAGGCTGTCTATGCTGCTACCTTTGAAGACGCTGATAGGGTCGCGGTCTGCAGATGGAAGTCCAGATGCTGAGGCCATGCCCAGACTAGCATGGGATGCGGACACCCAGGTTGTGGCAATGAAGAGAGTACTTTGAGTTGGGAGATCCTTTGATGACCTGGGTAAACTGACAAAAGAGTAGGGATTTGGAAAGGGCCTGAGGTGAAGGAGCTCAAAAGGATAACCAAGAGGTTAAGAAGGGCCCTGTAACAGTTACCCAGAAGCACTCATGGCTTGACATGGTTGCCAGGACCCCACCTGATAAACTGACAGCCCGGCGCTGTGGGTGAGGTACATATATAAGTACCCTGAAGAATAGTATCTATCAAGCATACAGATTGGGGCCCTTAAAAACTACCCAAGAACAGCACTGAGTGGGTATTGTACACTGCCTCTAAAGGTTTCAGTGGGTTGGGATGACCAATTAAAGCCCAGAAGCTCAGGCTGGTGACCTTGAGCCTTCAAGAATTGGACAAAGTGCCCCTCTTCTTCCCTGTCCCCCAATGTGACTGCCTCCAACATTGCTCCCTTGGTGGTAATCTTAAGAGTGCACCATGCTGCGCTGGTTCTAGCAAATGCCTCTTATAGCACACACCTGGCTGCTGAGTCACGAGGTGAAGTTGCAGGTGGGAGGGGTGGCGGCAGCCCACTTAAGTGGAAGGACGCTGCATACAAGCCCACCATAGCCTTGGGAAGGGAACTCATGACCTGACCCCATCCCTTCCCCACTTTAGTAAAAGGAACCCATCACGTGGATGGGGCCACGTGAAAAGATTTGCTTCTGCAGAACATCCCTTGCAGGAGCGTCTGCAAGAAACAGCACAGGTGATGAACTCCGAGGAAATCTCCGCGGTGTGTGAGGGGCTCCTTGGGTTGGCTGAGACGCTTATTGTCCTAGGAGTGGTTATTAACAAGGCACAAGCCCGCCCACCACCTCAGCGGGTGACAAAATGCAAGCCTTTTGGGGGATTTGGGAAACCTATCCCCCACCACCTGACACCACACCTCTGATCCTTGCACTCCCACCCCCTGGTAGAGAAGGCACACAGGTCAGTGAACACCAAGCTGCCTTGGAGAAGCAAAGCTCCGGGTGAAGCAGACTGAGGGTAGGGGGATGTAAAGTAAAACCGAAAACAACTAGTGACTATAAACCAAAGACATTCTACGGGGTGGAAAGGGGCCTGGGGTCAAAACGGGTGGGAAGAGCGCACCGGACTGGTGATGGCGCACTGGTGAAGTGGTTGGGAAGGCGACGCGGATTACAACTGAGGTGAAAAAATACACACACAAAAAAAAGATGAAAAAAAGTAAATTACTAAAAGCACAGTAGGGGAGAGGACATGCTTCTAAGGCTTCAGTCTCCTCTCGAGACGAAACGTGGTCGACACCACAAAGCAGCCCCTTAGATGCTTACACAGCTCCGGGCAGGGCTTTCACAGAGGAGCTGCAGACCCCAGAAAGACCTCCCACCCCACCCACCCCGCTGCCACAGCGCGACCCCCGCTTTGGCGATGGAGAGGCGCACGGGCGCCAGCAGACTGCACCGTGTGGAGGTCTCGAGGGCCCTACACCTGTAGTGCCTCCGGGCACAGTGGGGGCGGGAGGACTCCCCATTCCCGGGATAACCCTGCGCTGGGCCTGCGCTCACTGCACTCAGCACTGCCACCCTCTGGGCGGAGAAGGAACGAGCCGCTGAGCAAGAGGGCTGCCCGAACTCCGTGGTTTGGCTGTTAATCCTGTACACTGGCCCTTTGGCTCCAAGGAATTTGAACAATAAGTGCTCAGGGGTCCTAAACCCGCTCTCGCAGGATCCGGTTATATGGAAACCTCATTGTTCCCACTCCTAACTCCTGTAAGGCACTGACGTCCCCAAACAATCAACAAGCTAGTGCCCTAGTCCAGGAGCCATCTAGAAACTGACCCGCCTTTAGATGCAGCGGCCTTGATGCATAAGTGTTGCCCCGTTGCACCCCCACGGGATGGATGGGGAAGGAGGCACGCCCGCCTGGAAATACTGCCACCTGGGGAAAGCAATAGCAGCGTGTCTGCATGCTCTAAACGATGCCGACCTAACTGCCACAGTTTGTAGGGCAGGGTGAGGGGTACTCCGGACTCCAGACCCGCGTGCTCTAAATGTTTCTGCCATTTGCAGCATAACGACAAAACACGCCGGTGCATCAGACCCTCAGCAGGACGAGCACGAGGCCGCCACCGTCACTGGACGAGACAACACACAACGGAGCGGGAACCTGCAAGCAACACAATAGCACAGCAGAACTGTAGGGAAACCGCCACATCGCGGGCTAAAGCCCTACCCCAGGCTGTCTACATTTGAGTGTCGTGCATTGGGTCAAACAACCTGTCACCCCGTCCGACAACCGTCCGACAAGTTGGGGACTCCTACAGCGGTCCTCAATGCCTTAATGGCATGGAAGTCAGGAAACAGCCAGCGTCAGTGTGTCCTGCTGCCGCCGTATCGAGTCCAGCCCCACGTGGGAGCAGGCAGAGCTCAGTGCGCAGGCGCGGCCCTTCAGTCGGCCCAGGCCTGGGGTGAAGGAGGGCGCCCGGCCCTCACTGGGCTCCTCAGGCCTTAACGTTCTCTGGGGGAAACAGGTGCACGACACACCAGGCAGGGGGCTGGCCGGCAAGGACGCAGGTTCAGGCGGGCAGGGGGCTGGGAGGGGCAGGCAAGGGGGCCTCCCGGCCCCCAGGATCTTTACACTTTTGCCGTGGGGTCTCTCCTGCCTCTCCCCGGAGCGCTGCTGCCTTTCTAGACCCGCCTGCAGGCCCAGGCTGCCCGTTAGACCGGCCCACACCACACTCCAGGCGCCCCCCCATCAGGCCCAGGCACGTCCCATCAGGCCCAGGCGTCCCCCATCAGGCCCAGGCGCCCCCCATCAGGCCCAGGCGTCCCCCCCCATCAGGCCCAGGCGCCCCCCATCAGGCCCAGGCATCCCCCATCAGGCCCAGGCGCCCCCCATCAGGCCCAGGCGCCCCCCATCAGGCTGGCGCCGGCACTCCCAAGCACCTTCATTAGCACATTAAGATGACCGAGACCCAGGTGATAGCCACAGAGGCCAATGACGCAAAAAGCCTGTCGGCTTCACCCCACAATCCGCCCTGGGAGGGGTTTTGGCCCTACAATCATTCTTCCACCAGCCTCCCTTGGCGAATGTGGAGCACTGCATCCGTGACCCCGAAAACCAACAGAACACAGCAGACTACGACAAAGTACAGCCGAGCCCAGACACTGCGGTGTCAGGGCACCGACCGACGGGCAAAAGGACACGGTGACTGGCGCCAGCAGAGTCTGCTGGACTTGTGCGAGCGGGGCCACAGGACCATCAGCTCCACTCAGGCATCTGCCAACAGCCAGGAGCCATCCGCTTCCGGCCATACACTACATTCAACCCCATGCACCGGAGGTTGGCGCCACACTCTGGACTCTTTTGGGGGTGACCACTCAGTCCCCAGGGTACTCTCACCGGTCACTCTAGCACTCCGCCTTCACACCCCAAGGGACAAGCAGACCCTGCACGCAAGCCAGCCCTTTGCAGGTGCACCTGGTCGGGGACCTTTGGGTACAAGCTCCACAAGTGGCCTCTCTGGTCCCCAAAGCCCTCCCCCCCACCCCAGGACAGACCCTCAGCACCCTCCCCCACGCCACCCAGAAGAGCAGGGT